TCTTTTTCTGAGGCTCCAGGGAAAAAGAGTCTACCACCTGTGGAAGAAGGGACAGGTAATGCAGGGAAGAAACTGTTAGGATATGCAGGGAGAACATTATAAAGGCAAAAGCTTGAGTTCAACCTGGCCACTGGGGTAAAAGAGAACAAAATACTTGTTTACAAATATATTAACAGTGGGAGGAGGGCTAAGGAGAATCTCCAACCATTACTAAATGCACCAGTGAACGCGACCACTGAGGATAAGGAAAGGCTGAGGTTCTCAGAGTCATATTTAAATCTGTTTTTGAAAGTCAGGCCAGTTATCCTCAGATACTCTACCCCTGACCTGGAAGTATGGGATGGGGAGAAGAATAACCCCCCCCACAATTCAGGTAGAAACAGATCTGTGCTCAGCTCTGGTGAGGCTGCACCTCAAGTTCTGTGTTCAGTTTTGGGCCCCTCACTACAAGAAAGACATAAAGGCTCTGGAGCATGTCCATAGGACAGCAAATCAGGCCAGGGGTTTGGAGCTCAAGTCTTACAAGGAGTGGCTTGAGGAAACTGGGATTGTTTAATCCAGAGAAGAAGAGACGTAGGGGAGACCTTATTGCTTTCTACAACTACCTGAAAGGAGGTTATAGAGAGATGGGGGTCAGCTTCTTCTCCTGCATAACTAGTGATATGACTAGACAGAATGGTCTCAAGTCATTCCAGGGGACATTCAGGTTGGATATTAGGAAAAACTCTTCTTTGAGAGAGTGGTCAGGCACTGGAATGGGCTGCCAGAGAGATGATAGAGTCACTGTCCCTGAAGGTGTTCAAGAAATGTTTAGATGTTGTACGAAGGGACATGATTTATTGGGGAGATATTGTTGGTAGCAGGGTGGTCAGACTTGAGGATCGAGGAGGTCTTTTCCATCCTTGGTGATTCTATGATTCTATGAATTTCATGCCATTTAAGGTATTTTTTCTACTTGAACACTACACTAGTTTTTTAAAATTTTACCACAGATTTATAGAATGCTACATTTGGAACTGAAAAATACTTATTTTCTGATTAATCTTCATAAGAATTCTCCTATTTCTGTATCTTCTATTCACTTCTTTGTCTCCCTCCTGCCCCTTTTCTTGGCTGTGGCAAGTGTACCTTGCCTTAACATGAGAATCTTTCTTAATGAATGCTCATGAAGATTTTTTAAAACTATTATTTTCATAGGATACATCAAGTCCAAGAAGCATGACTGTACATGCAGACATTTTTGTTTAAAAATGTCTAATATTTGAAGTTAGTCATAGGCTGAATTGAGCTCACCCTATTTAATGCACCGATATTTTCATTGCAAGGGATGACATCATTTAAAATGTGCATTTGATACTGGAAGTAGAGCTGGTTCAGAGAAGGCTGGAACTGGGAGCCTCTCTACTGACTTCAGTAGACTAAAGATCACATCCTTAAAGGCTATGGGTAGAAGACAATTTCAAGGCACTCCTTTCACATAAAAAAACTCAGAAACTATCTGGTGCACAGCACAGCATTAAGAAAGTTGCATATATGCAGCAAGCAAGTCAACCTACCTGCATATTCTACAGTCCTGCAAACTGCCCTTCGTGGAGTTTTTTTGTTTGTTTTTATTTTTTAAGAAAAAACAGAATTGTCATTATACCAGTATGACAGTTGGATACCAATAACCCTTCATTCAATAAATTAAGGATTTCTGATGTGCCAGAGGCTGAAAAGCCTCTGCTTCGCTTTGACTTTTTGTTCCTACTAAATTGCCATTCACATTTCAGCAAAATTAAATATCCTTAAATAAATATTTAGGTGCCAGCAAATGATGAGAGAAGTAAAAGAAGTTAATTGGCAGCTGTTGGCTGCAATACTCAAGCAAGATTAAAAAACTAAACTAAACTAAACTAAACTAAACTAAAAAGAAAGAAAAGAAAAGTTGTTGTTTTCTACAAGTCCTGTAGCTGTGACAGGGAATAACTTCAGGCTATAAAATAAAAAAACCCCTCATGTTCTGTTCCTGAGCTTTTCTGTTGTATTAACTTTTTTTTTTTTTCTTTCTTTCTTTTTTTTTTTTTTTGCCATTTAAGCTATCCTCTTGACTTCAGAGCAGTACATCTAAATGTCAAGTTCATGTCAAGTGGCTTGCAACACTGTACAGCTTACTCTTCTTATTCTCCTCTCTCCCATGAGAAGTAGTGCTGGGGCAAATAATGTTCACTCACAGCAACAGTGAGAAAGCTCCTGGTGATTCCTGTCTGTAGAATGGCCAGCAAACTATTTTGGGTCTTTTTTTTTTTTGAGAAAAGGAGACATGTTGACAGTGTTGCTCTGAGCAACAGGTAAATGAGGAGAGAGCAATGGAGTGGCCTGGGGTGGGTTATAGGATCAAGGCATTGGAGAATACATAATTTTCTCCAGTGTTGGGAGGAGGGTGGAATGAGAAGCATTGGCTCATGGGGAACAGGATGGAGAAACTAAGCACGGAGAAGGAAGAATAAAGTCCCTGCCCCCCTCCTCATAGCTGTCGGCCTCAATTAGCAGCATGCAGGCACTATTGGAGAGCTATATGGCTGACTATGGGCAGCCAAGTCCCAGATCCCACCTCCAGCTCTGCAGTCCATTAAACTAAACCATTAAACTCAAGAGAACGCTACATATAGTAGCAAAATTTGCAAGATCAAGCCCAAGAAAGCAATTAAACTGCATGTGAGGGCTGGGAGCGGGGAAGATGAACTCTGTATCTGCATCCAGATCCAACCTAGCAGCTGAGTAGGTGACTGCTTGCAGACCTCTGGCTATCCTTCCTTTGTGCTGTTGTGTCTTATGGCTCAGGAAAACAGTCATGTTGATGGACCATATTCTTATTTCTGCTCTGTGCTTTTGCCTCTCGACAAATTCCTTTTGTCACTTTTGGATGTTGAAACAAAAAAGACTTTCTAAATCAAACTTAGAATTAAGCAATGATGCTACTTTTTTCTTAATTGTATGTCCCTAATCACAAACTCAGCCAGCCTTGATCCTTCCTTCTTCTATGCATGCACAGAGTGTACACTTCAGTTTTCTGTCCATCTCACTAGACCCAGACTGACCTCTTCAGCTCCTTTTGCCCTGGATCTGTCTGTGACATGACTCAGCTTCCAAGTTTTCAGAGGACAGCTCCAGAAACTCTGCAGGAGGCAGTGGTACCCTCGGTTTTCTATTTCTTTAGCCTGTTCTGTCCACAGAAATGATAATTAGCTATATGTATATACACTAATCCTTTCTTTGAACAGTACTAAATTCTTGCCTCAATACCTTCCTGTGACCTGTAGTTTAATTAAACACCATGTGAGAAGGTATTTCCTTTTATCAGTTTTGAATAAATCACTTTTCTGTTTCATTGAGTACCTCCTTGTTGATATTTTTAGACAGAGCCCCATTTTGAGGAAGACTTATAATCTCCAAATCAGCTCTTTATTTAGAATATATACACAGGCTGTAGAAATACTTTTTACTTTTTCCTCTGAGGCTTTCTAGGCAATATAAGGACAAAGTTAAAAATTAATACAATACAATCTGAACTATGTAAGAGGGTTTTGTTTTGTCTTTTTTTTTTTTTTTTTTAATTCATTGCTTGGCTAACTGAACACAGTAGGAGCAGGTACCTGACAGAAGGTAGACTGATTTTTCTTCTAATCTCTGCTCTGTTACACTTCATTTTAGGAAAGCTCTTCTGCAAATATGTGAGCCTCTTCTGCTTCCATGCAGTAAATAAAAACGTGGTTTTGTAAGTTGTGGGTCAGAAGCAACAAGAGAAATTAGTTGGTCATGCAGAGAAAGACTCGTGACTGCTTATCCCCTAGGCATTCAACAGTTTCAGCTCCTGCAGTGGTAGCCCTGTGTTTGCACGGCTGTGTGGCTGCCCAGCTTGTTACTCTGTGCCATCAGTTATCACCTCACTTTGGGCCAGCACGGCCATGTTTTTCACATGCTGGTTGGTGAGCAGCCTGTTACATACTTTGCTATTATTATCCAAGATTTACTCATATATATCTGTAGCCACAAATGATGTGTGCTACTGAAACACTTTACAATCTGGCCATTGCAGAAATACAGATTTCTGTTTAACAGAACAAAAAAAGCCCAAGCTTTTTTTTTTTTTGACAATGCTGCTGTTAAGTCGTTTTTTGTTGTTGGTATTTCTTTTAATTTGCTTATCTATGTGGGTTTTTTTTTGTTTGTTTGTTTAACAAATTATTATGTTTGATATAACTTTCATCAACAGTTGTTGCCAGAAGACCTAAAAATTAAAGTAAGAAGCATAAATTTAAGTCTCCAGAAAAGGACATAGAGATATGATACTAAGACTTACTGAAGTCTCTATATGAACTTTTTACCATTTTACCAGTGATATTATCTATTAGAACCCTTTATTAAAGTACTAAGGGCACATATTAGTGAGACATCAAAAGAAGTTAACCAACTTCAGGCATAATTTCAATATTATAAATATTTATCTAGCTCCTTTCCAACACTATTTGATATTCTCTCAGGATGAGAGCTGAAATGTGTCCAACATTACACTAGGAGTTAAGCTGGATAAGCCTGTTCCTATAAGTTAAATTCAGGTGTGAACTTGCAACAGTAAAGTAACTGTTGTGCACATGTGGCAGCTTGTTCTGCTGTCCGTACCTCTGATTAATGAATATCAGTCCAGCTAAGCAACGGACTTTTCCAAAAACAAACTGTGTAATCAGCAGCCATTGTGGGATTTGTAAGATAATCTAAATAGCTTGTTTACAAACAAATTAAAGGATTATATCTTAATATAACTCCTTTCAGAGTAGTTTGTTTTAAATGATAAATTATGCTTGTTCAAGTACATTGCTACCTCCCTATTTGACCTCAGCAAAGACAAACACATGTCTGAATGGCCCACTCTTGGGCCTATATGAGAAATAAAATCCCTTTTCCAAAATGTGTTTCTTAAGAAACTACAGGAAAGTAGGACAGGAAAGGGGCATTGACAATCTGTGAAAACGTATGAGAAAAACTTTTTATTATACATCAAAAAGATAGAGCTGGAATGGATACATGTGATCTTCAAGCCTGGTTCTAGTCCACGGAGCACACTTGATAAAGAGTGGCATCACAGTACCTGAAAGAACAAGACAAAATTGTGGAAAGAGTGAAAGGATGAGAATAGCATCCGGGCAGATGATTGTTGGTGGTAGATATGGCCAACTGGAAGCACAAATTAGTTTTGTACAGAAAGGTCAGGACATACATTGAAATGAAGAAATCTGTTTCAAGATAACATCATAGAATCATAGGATGGCTTGAGTTGGGAGGAACCTTAAAGACCATTTAGTTCCAACCCCTCTGCCATGGGCAGTGTTGTCACCCACTAGATCAGGCTGCCAAGTCTAGCCAAGAACACCCCCAGGGATGAGGTATTCGGACCTTCCCTGAACAACTTGTTCCAGTAACAAACTACCCTCTTGGTAAAAAAATTCCCTCCTTAGTATCTAATATAAATCTCTGCTCTTTTAGTTTAAACCAGATGTGTCCTATCCAAGGCCTATGGGCCACACGTGTACATCTACGTGGACATCTAGTAATATGGCCTCAGAAGATTATAACTTAATACATTACTATATGATTTTTAGCTATATTTTTTCATATGTCAATTGCACATAGCTTGAGTGTATACTCTATAGGTATTATGGTTTAACCTGGCAGATGGTTCAGCACCACACTGTCGTTTGCTCATTCCCTCCTTCCCAATGGGATGAGAGAGAGAATCGAAAAAACCCCCACAAAGTAGAATTCATGGGTTGAGATAAAATTATTTACTAAGATAGAGAAAAGGAAAAGGATAATAATTATGACATGTATATATATATTAAAAGAAATATAAATATATATATATGTATAAATGTATATAACAAGTGATTCCCAAGCAATTCCTCACCATCCCCTGACTGATGCACAGCTCATCCCCCAAGCAGTGGAAGAGTGTGATATAAACTCTCACCCCCTTCGAAACTCCTTCTGCATGATGTCATATGTTATGGAATATCCCTTTGGTCAGCTGAAGTCAGCAATCCTAATTCTGTTCCACCCCAGCTCCTTGGGCTCTTCACTGAGAATTGCCTTGACTCTGTATGACACTGCTTAGCAGCAACAATAAACATCAATGTGTTATCAACATTATTCTTCTCTTGTAACCAAAATATAGCAAAATTAGATCAATCTGACAACAATTATCTCTTGAGAACTCAGTAAGAATAGCAACCACTTCCATTGAGCCAGACATTGATGCACTGGTTCCACAAAAACAAGGTCAAATATTCCACTAGTTTTATGTTTTTGCTGCCTACTGCTTCTTCTTCTTCTTCTTTTTTTTTTTTTTAATGTTTTCATGAAAAACGATATATATAAAAGAAGTTTAGTTATTAATATATATTAACTATATTATGTATTTTATATGCAGCCCAAGACAATTCCTCTTCACTCAGTGTGGTCCAGGCAAGCCAAAATGTTGGACACCCATGGTTTAAACAATTCTTCCATGTCCTATCACTAATTGCCTGTATAAAAAGTCAATTTTCCTCCTGTTTTAGAAGATCCCTTTAATTACTAGGGGGCCACACTGAGGTCTCCCTGGAGCCTTCTCTTCTCCAGACTAGACTAGCCCAGCTCCCTCAGTCTTTCTTTGTAGCAGAAATACTCGAGTCCTCTGACCTTTGCGGCCCTCCTCCAAAGCTCCACGTTTTACTTGTGCTGGAAGTCCCAGAAATGGATGCAGTACTTTGGATGGGTCCTCATGATGGCAGAATGGAGAGGGACAATCAACCCCCTTGTCCTGCTGGCCATCCACCTTTCATTGCAGCTCATGATACAGGCGGCCTTCCGGGTTGCACTTGCACTCAGCTGGCTCATATTCAGCTTTTCGTCCTACAGGACCCTCAAAGGCCTTCTTGGCTGGGCTGCTCTCAATGAGTTCTTCTCCTAGATTGCCCTGACACAAATGTAACACCCTGAGCTTGGCCTTGTTGAATCTCTTTAGGCTATCGTTGGCCCACTTCTCAGGCTTGCAGGAATAACACAAACCTGGTGCAATAATGGCTGGAATAGGTATTATGACTAAAACACAGCTGCTGGAAATACGTGCTATTCTGAAACTACATATGTAATGATTGAAGTAATGGGTAACCCTGTACATTAAGAGAACTAACATAGATAAGCAGAAAAAAACAAAAAAACAAAAAAAAAAACCAAAACAAAAAACAAAACAAAAGCAAAAAAAAAACCCAAAAAACAACAACCAACAGCAACTGCAGTAAATCTCTCCAAACAATGACCACTGCCACCACCAGCAACAAAACACACTATGACTATTTATCCATTCACCATCATTTCAAATGAAAATGTGAAAAAATCTGGTTAAACAGATTAGAGTCACACTTTGATATGAATAAAGGTATGTGCAACAGTAGTACAGACAGAAACACTTCAGAGTTTTCTGCTATTTTGAAATACTTTCCAAAAATATATCGGAGAATAAATTCTACCAGTGTCAGGTAACATAGGTTTCCAGTAAAAATACCTGACTATTTTATTACATGGCTACTCCTGTGAAACCAGCAAAAGGAGATTTTTTTCTGGCCAGTACTTGGGAAAATAGCAGATGAGCTGCTCAGAGAACTAACCTTAGCTTGAAGTCTCATGATTCAACCCACCATAAGATTCTCAGAAGAAGAAACAAAGTGGAACTTTAAATAAAGGAGAAATTTCAATGGATTTAAGGAAACAATTAGTGACAAAAACTGGCCTGAGAATTTCTACGATTTGAACATGGAGTAAGCTTAGACTATTTTTAAATCAGTGCACACAAACTTATTTGGAACTTGTCTAAGACTGCTGTTTGGAGAAGGACTGCACAGTTCACCTTATATCAAAACAAATATATCATATAATAAATAATCAGTGATCCTAAAAAATATTGAGAAAAGGTTCCATCTTTGGAAAAGATCTGTCCAAGAAAAGCTGGATAAGTGCTGGGCTATTGTGAGAAGTTTGCTATCAATTCTTTCAGAAAATTCAACTGCATTGAAACAAATGACAAAGGGCTTCTCAGCCATGTGATTAGAAAAAAGAAAAAGAAAAACGAGCCTTAAAATTCTTTGCTTAAAAATTAAGTAGGTCTAGAATAAAATAAGGCAAAAACTTTGTCATAGTTTTCAGTAAATGTACAGGCTATGACTGCAGTATAAGAGGCAGGAGGAGAAGCAGAACAGATTTTGACAATGTAAAGAACATAGAAATAGTTTTCACATTTGCACATTTGCACGCTTTCTGTTTTTCAGTGTGATGTATTAAGTATAGGAATGTGTTAAGGTCTTGTCTTGTCTAAGGGCTGAGAGACAGGAATTATGGAGATATTAGAATCTTCTTTTACTTGGCGCAGGGCAAACCTTCAAAAAGGAATAGCACATTACCTGATAGAAAATTTTTGCAGGGATAATGACAACACTGACATTAAATTTCAGCAGTGTATTCCCAAAGTATGGATAAAAGGAATCATCTGAAAGACAAGCTGCTTAACTAGAGTGTGGTGAAGGAGAGAGAGAACAGCCAAAAAGCCATGGATAAGCACACACTCAGAGGAAGATGGCTAAGCTGGAGTCTGCTGGAGACAGAAGCTAACACTTATTCTGTGGGGTTTTCCAAGGCCCATGAACAGTCAGTTCTGCCCAATGAAGGTTTTGCAAAGTTTCTCACTTGAGGATACTGTGACTCAGATGGCCAGTATAGAAAAAATGTATTGCCTACCTGCAGCCTCATTCTGACTGATGATCCATCTTGTATCTACTTACATTTCTCTCTGATGGGGCAATGGGAGTAATATGCTGTGACAGTCACAGCTGAATTTGTCAGTCAGGCTCACAAGTATGGGAAGATGTAGCCAATCTCAGGAGTTATGCAAGAAGGTTGTGTCAGGACTGGGGTCACGAGAAAGATGTGCCTTTGTGACAAACACACAATGGGGATTGCCACATTGGAGGTGGAAGCAAAAACATTCTTGTGCGTTCATGAAAGGATCAGCTTTTGGACTGATCTCTTCAACTATTTTCATGAATAGTTTTGGCACAATAATAGAAATTCACAGGAATGCATTAATCAAACTTTTTTTAATGAGAATTTGGGACATTGCCAGTACAGCAAAGGATCAAACTGTCATACATGAAGAACTGCACCGACTATTAGAATAAAAGAAGTGTAATGGGTCATGCACTTACGAACTAATGATTAAAGGTTTTGGAAAAACCTATGAATCCTTCATTTGGAAAAATCTCAGGAAAGATTGAAAATGCTGGTCAGTACAATATGACAGAGAGCCACTGCATGTGGCTGTAATGAAAAAGACTGCTGTAATTCCATGATAAATGTTTCCAGTAAAAACTGGAAAGTATGACCATTGCTTAGAGGGCAGGGGCAACCTTTTTTCTTTTTTTTTTTGGAAAACTTTACACTCTTCTATGTATCTGTGTTTAAAAGAAAGAGATTCAAACTGGGACAAACACACAGACCCACTACTGATACAGTTTACTTGACATGGTGAGATGAGCTAAGTCCCACTTGGTCTCATACTCTTAGTTGTGCTCAGACAACTGTGTGGTGAACCACAGCAAAAGAGAAGCAACAACTTATGAGACAGAATTTATCCTTATAAAATTTTAGGATGTTGTTCTCAGGATCACATAACATTTAAGGATATGTTGTTTAATTTCCTTTCTAGGAAAGGTTGGATACTGTAGTACTCCAGCAGACAACAGCACAGTAAAATCGTGTCTGCACAGAAGAATGACAAAGATTTCTGTTCCGAGTATGTACACTGCCAATAATAAAAAGTGTAAAAAGGTTAATGTCCAGATCCACAAATGAAGTTAGGTATTAAAAATCCTCAATTAGCAGTATGTGTGGGAGCAGTGTGCTTGTGTAGATCATATTTGGCTTCAGTTTGACAGTTTGATGAAGAATAGCAGTTCTTCTCTGAGCACAGTCCCTTGTTCCAAAGTACTGCCTGCATGAATGGAGGCCATGAGAACCCTGGTATTAAGAGGGCACTCAAAATTGTCCAGAATTTCAATTGCCCAGATGCTTCTGACAGGACACACACGCCTCCTCATGGACAGCACCTCAAACACTTAACAAGAGTCATTTCTATCTTTGCAATCACAAATCAGTTCCAGTGGATTTCTCCTTTTATGAAATGTGATGGCTGCTGAATTGTTGAGCAAGAATTGGCAGGTCTGTGATCAGTACTTTTTCAGCCTGCTGCTTTGGAGGAGGATTGTCTATTGCCTAACACCATGAAAGAGCAAGGGTCATGAAATTGCTGCTTGGAAGCAGTATTCCAGGTGGCACACAGGTATACTGTGTGAGGTCTCACTGCTACAAATCACTTGGCATGCTAAAGGTTAGCAGAGTTCAAAAGGTGGTTGGACAAATACATGGAAGTGAGGCCCCAGACAGGTGTGCATTTAAGATAATGATAACATTTATTTCTCAAGAATTTCCCTGGGATTCCCATGTTTTGAAGAACAATTAAGTTAGCTCATAACAAAGAAAACAGTAAAAATAGGCATTATTTCCTACTCTTATAAGATAAACTCCTTTTCCTTGCTAGGACAAATTTGACTCTGCGGATGAATGTGAACTTCAGATTACCAGTAACACCAACATTTTAAAAAGAAACATGTAATAGCAATTTTTATGAGTTAAACAGTTGTATCTAATGACTTCTAGCATTTTCAAGAAGATCAACATTTATCTGCAAGAATTTAAACAAAATCTTTTTTCTCCTAAAATTAACTTTCCGTAGGTAGGCTCCTAATTCTACGTCTTTTATTCAGACGTGACAAAGAACTCTACCACTTCTATTTTCTGTATTTTCTTCTAGTTAGCTGCAATCTGTATTAATAAAGTCAGGCCTATATTTTTAAAGCCTGGATGATTCTTTCCCACTTAAGGATATGGTGCTCGTAATTGAAGAACATATAGATATAAAGGCAGTTTCCCCCTCTGCATTATGGAATAATACTGTTGCTTTAACAGCGTAGTTTAGTTAGTTGTTCACAGCTTGCTTTTTAGCCAGGTTACGTATGCAAATGTATTCATGAAAAAGAAACCACTCCTACAAACAAAATATATTTGTAGGGTTGATGTTATCTTGTGCTTCATAAACAGTGTAGCATGCTAACAAGCACTGACAAGATAAAAGGAGTGTTCATAAAAATGTTTGGCCTGGGAAAGCTGTTTCTGAATTTAAAAGCTACCTATTGTCACGGCACTACACGCAGACTTTCTGAAGCAGCACCAGCTGCATTTTCATGACCACCATCAAGTGCCCATGTTAATTATTGAATTTTTCAGAACAGTGAAACCCCAGTGTAAGCACCTTCCCAAATGCTGAGCTTCTCGCAAACATTGTCAACGAGCAGATGCTACCTATTGTGTAACTTTTGAAAGTGTGGCTGTGGTTTAAAAGATAATCAGAGATCATACACTAAGGCAGTTCAATTTATGGTTGTTAAGTGCTTGGAACAGTGGTTCCTTATATGAATATTAGTATGTTTGTATCCAGAATATTTTTCTCCTCACAGGCATTTTATAGGTGCAATGGTGGAAGGATGATGAATAAACAGAAGTAGTCTGGCTTGTTTGTAAATGCTCTGTTGGACTTTTTTCCTCCTTTGTTCATGTTTTTCATTCGTCCAAACTCTAACTTTTTAACATTAGACAGCTCTGTAACATTTATGTTGAGTCACAGTAAAGTAACCCCATCTTCACTGACCCAAGCAGTATCTTTCCTGTAAGTAATCTGTTGTAGTACTCAGTGGAGATTTCTACACAGCAACTGCAGCCCAAGCTAGCAGAAATTTCAGGTGCTGGACTGTATTATGATATCATAGCATAAGTGTCTCCTCGCTGTTGCAGCTTAAAGCAGGGTTTTCTCTGAGACGGAGAGAACTTTCTTTGAGAGCCATCTCACAATCACTCCTGCAGACATTAAGCATGGTAGTGTAAAACTACGGCATGCCTCAGACTGGAAGACTACTGTGTAAATAATAATAGTAATGTTATCTGTTAGATATAACTCCTGGTACTGCAAAAGGCCTATTCCTGCTTTATACATGCAGCCCAAGCAGGCTGTTGTAATCTGAGACATAACATCTGGCTCACAAGCTTTTTCTTTTCTAAACTGAAAAAGAAAAAAAAAAAAAAAAGAAAACCCAACCTCCCAAACCCCATCCCTTCAAATGCCCATGGAAATGACCAATAATTATCTGCTTTCTTAAAATTAGCAAAGTATCACTTGGTTGTGATTAAGCTCATTTCAAACTTGTTCATCAGGAAAAGCCACTATTAAATTCCAAGCAATGCTTCTGGTAAACCAATTCAGCATACAATAATAGAAAAATACATTTGTTCCAGGTGCTTTTTTTGCAGAACCTGACATTCGAGTCCGTTTATTCTTTCCTCTGTCTCTCAAACACCCATCAGACTTTATTATTCTATAATCCTCAAGGTTGCCCCATCTCTTTTGCATGCCAGAGACAGCTTGGGAGGTAAGAAGCTGTAATGAAAAGAAAATGGATCAGAGCCACAAAATGAATTCAAAGATGGACCTTGTTTTCTTATTTTACAGCTGACACCCATGTATTTTAAAATATACACTTCTAAAAGAAATATCCCATTAAAAAGACATTTAGAGCCTCAAATACTCTGCATGTTTTTCATGGAATTCATTCTTTTGTTTCCATGTTAGTTTATTAACTAAAATTTTCCAAGGGATAATATAAAGCACAAAGAAGAACATGCTATTTTCTTCAACGGTCTTACAGTCTAAGCAGGCAGGCAAAGCACAAAACCAAACACTTTAGCCCAGATGGTGCTGGAAATTATGGTCACAGCTTTACTACTTTGAAAGTGTCTTAGACTTCTGTGTGTTTAGCTAAAAAAATGAAATCTGTATTGCATTTGTTTATTTTAAGAGAGCTGTCAGGTGCTGAAAATTAGATGTCTATAAGAAATCTTGAGCTGGACCACTAAAAACAATTGTGTCTCAAAAATTTCTTTTAAAATTTTTAGGAACTTTTAAAAGCTACATACAAGAATTTTTTTATTTCCTTTCACATTTTTAAACTTAATTTTCTGTTTGATAACAAGGGATCACAGTATTTTAATTATATTGTCTGGCAACTGTGGAGCTCTCAAAAATGTATTAAGTTTGTTCAGGAGCAATTTTTATTACAAATTAGCTTCCTCTCAATCCAAATGTCAATGCCAAGAAGGCTATCTTTTTTTTCATGTCAGAATTTGAAGATGAGTTTTTCCACAGCAAAAGAGGCCATTAAAAAGGGAATTACTACAGAATACAAGAGCAACCCAAAGGAGAGATCTAGAGAGGAGAAAACATGATCTAATCAACATGGATCAACATGGCCTAGGATTTTACAGTTGTATAACAGTTCAAATCCCAAAAGATTGAACCACAGGCCCTGCCCCTTTTCTGCTATGCATTTTATTCTTCTTCTTACCTCATTTACACCTTCAGTGGATTCTCTCTTTCCAGGTTACAGTTGTACCAGATAAGAATGTCTGCTTCATATTCATGGTAGATTTTTATTAATAATGAACTTTCCAGAACTGAATTAAAGTCAACAACACAATTGTATCTGGAAAGAAAATACAGTGCATCTTCCTTCTATTTTTAATTTAATTAATTTGTACTGTGGACAAAACTGGAAGTGTGAATAACTCTCCTTCCTTAGTTTTGCATGACTAACAGACAGTGTCACTACAAAAGTAGCAATAAAACAAATCTCTTTGCTTGCTTTCAAGTGTGCGAGTGCTGTATAG